CATGGTAATCTGGGGCTTGGGGGATGGATAAGGATGGTCCAGTCAACTTGGATAAGGATGGTCCAGTCAATTATGAAGTCCAATCAACAGTTCTGTGAGATTTGTTGTAGGACAGCAGTAACTGCTACACTAAGCACATGTGCAACCATGGATAAAGGGTACCTTGTCTAAACTACTTGTTTTACTATAGACTCCTCAGGTGAGTTGCTTAGAGTGGAAACAGATGTAGAATCATAGAAAATGAGGGTTGAAAGGGATTCAGGAGATCATTTAGTCCAACCTCCTGCTCAAAGCAGGACCACACCCAACTATAATATCCCAGCCAAGGCTTTGTCTACCCGGGTCTTAAAAACCGTTGCCATAAAAATGTTCATGGTAGCACAAAGGCCAAGCAAACAGATGTCCATACCCCTTGTCATACCATAAATGCCCAAAACTTGTAGCTGCAACATAGGTGGCATCAATATGCACTGCTTTCTTGCAGCTGACATCTGTTAGGTTTATGGTGGGAGAGCGTGGTCAGCCTGGAGTTGTCTGCACTCTCCAGCTGCCCCAAGCAGGTGCTTCCGGGGCCTGAGCCTATGTGCCCTGGGAATTCCCACACAGGATTGGGCCCCTCAAGTCCTGGGAGTGCCTGCCCAGCCTTCCCCTCTTACAGAGACGCACCCCAAGGAATCTCCAAGGCATGTCTCTGTAAGCAGGGAACAAGTCTCCTGTTGTCCCTCAGGATCCAGCTAGTGTCTGATGCTGGACAATGGGTGACATATTTCGCCCAGTGAAGTAGACCAAATGTGGTGGGGACACATCCTGCCACCGCTTATCCACTTCATTTGGCAGTATCTGTTAATGCTCTCGGCCTCAGTATTTTTAATTTATACAGTGAAAATAATGTGCTGAGAATAAACCGCCCTACTTCAAAGGTGCTGTGAGGTTTTTTATTTTTATTTGGGGGGGGGGTTGTTTCTGATTGTTTATTATTCCCGTCCATCAGCTCAACAACAAAAACAGGGTTGAATGAATTCATATAATCACGGAAAATTAGGGTTGGAAGGGACCTCAGGAGGTCATCTAGTCCAACCCCCTGCTCAAAGCAGAACCATCCCCAGCTAGGTCATCCAAGCCAAGGCTTTGTCTAGCCAGGTCTTAAACCTCCAAGGATAGAGTCCACAACCTCTCTGGGTAACCTGTTCCAGTTCTTTACTACCCTCCTAGTGAGAAAATGCTTCCTAATATCTAACCTAAACTTCCCTTGCTGCAACTTGAGACCATTGCTCCTTGTTCTGTCATCTCTCACCACTGAGAACAGTCCAGCTCCATCCTCTTTGGAACCCCTTCAGGTAGTTGAAGACTGCTATTAAATCCTCTCTCATTCTTCTCTTCTCTAAACTAAATAAGCCCAGTTTCCTCAGCCTCTCCTCAGAAGTCATGTGCCTCAGCCTGCTCACCATTTTCATTGTCCTCTGCTGGACTCTCTCCAATGTGTCCACATACTTTCTGTAGAGGGGGGCCCAAAACTGAAGACATTACTCCAGATGTGGTCTCACCAATGCTAAATAGAGGAGAATAATCACTTTCCTTGACCTGCTGACAACAGACACCTACCAGTGCAGCCCAGTATGCCATTAGCATACTAGCATTAGTCTCCCTGGCAATGGGGGCACACTACCGACTCATATTTAGCTTATTGTCTACTGTAACCCCCAGGTCCTTTTCTGCAGAGGTGCTGCCCAGCCAGTCAGCCCCCAGCCTGTACTGGTACATGGGATTCTTCTGTCCTAAGTGCAGGACTTTGCACTTGTCCTTGTTCAACCTCATGAGATTTCTTTTGACCCAATCCTCCAATTTGTCTAGGTCACTCTGAATCCTAGCCCTACCCTCCAGCATATCTACTACTCCCCCCAACTTGGTGTCATCTGCAGACTTGCTGAGGGTGCACTCTATGCCATCTTCCAGGTTGTTGCTGAAGACATTGAACAACAAAACCAGTTGCAGGTCTGACCTCTGCGGCATTCCACTTGATACTGGCTGCCAACTAGACATTGAGCCATTGATTACTATCGTCTGAGCCTGATGCTCCAGCCAGTTTTCTATCCACCTTGCAGTCCATTCATCCAGCCCATACTTCCTTAGCTTGCCTGTGAGAATGTTGTGGGGGACAACATCAAAAGTCTTGCTAAAATCAAGATATACCACATCCACTGGTCTCCCCGTGTCCACAGAGCCATCATAGAAGGCAATCAGGTTGTTCAGGCATGATTTGCCCTTAGTGAATCCATGCTGACTGTGCCTAATCACCTTCTTCTCCTCCAAGTGCTTAGAAATGAATTCCTTGAGGATCTGCTCCATGATTTTTCCATGAGGCTGACCTGTAGTTTCCTGGATCCTCCTTTTTCTCTTTCTTAAAGATGGGCACTATGTTTGTTCTTTTCCAATCATCCAGGACGTCTCCTGATCACCATGAGTTTTCAAAGATGATGGCCAGCAGCTCTGCAATCATACCAGCCAACTCCCTCAGCACCCTTGGGTGCATCCCGTCCTGCCCTGTGTATATGTCCAGCTTTTCTATAGTCCCTAACCTGGTCTTTTGCCACTATTTGCTGCTCACCTCCTCTCCAAACTGTGCTGCCTGGTGTAGTAGTCTGGGAGCTGACCTTGCCTGTGAAGACTGAGGTGAAAAAGGCGTTGAGCACTTCAGCCTTTTTTGCATCCTCTGTTACTAGGTTGCCTTCTCCATTCAATAAGGGACCCACAGTTTTGCTGATCTTCCTTTTGTTACTGACATACTGTAGAAACCTTTCTTGTTACATGTCACATCTTTTGCTAGCTGCAACTCCAGGTGTGCTTTGGCAAATCAGACTGAAAATCACGTGCGCACACCCAGACTTAAACTTCCAGCTTTTTATTACAAGCTTAACACTTAGGCCCCTCAGCCATAGAACATGCCTGTTCTTCTATGGTGTTAGTTATTTAAAATTCAACTATGACTTCTTGGCTTATGCTGTTTCTGACCATAAATATCTGTCCTCTATTGTAATCAGAACTCTAGTGGTAGAGGCAATATCTTTTATTAGATCAACTAGGTCATTGAAAAAATATTTCTTTATTTGCAAGCTTCCAGGCTCACGTGCCCTTCCTCAGGCAAAGGACCACAACATAACTTCCTTACCCAGGAGAAACATTCCATCACTAATCCTCCTGTAAAATATGAAACAAGTTCACAAGAAAGAAGCAAAATTCAGCATCCTACTTGCCATCAGACACCTTTGAGATAAATAAACGACTCCAATATTTATCCAAGCCTAATTTGCATAGAATGAACTTTTCCACCAGTGGAACTTACACCATCCTCCAGTTCCCCTGTGCATTATGAAGTTTCATTTCTACCTGGGACAAATTTTACAATCTTTGCATTCTCCTTTGCCTGCGGACGGGTGCGTGAGCCCAAAAGTTTGAGAATAAAGAAATATTTTTCAATGATCTAGTTGGTCTAAAAGATATCGCCTCTACCACAAGAGTTTTGACTGCTTTTGCCTTTAGACCAACACAGCTACAACCTATTAGGGCTGTGCAAAGCTTTGGGTGCTGATTCGATTTTGAGGAGATTTGGCCCGATTCGGTGGCCAAATCTCCGAATCTGAATCGAATCGGGGGACCAAGTAAAAGGTCCGAGCTGATTCGAAGGTCTCCAAATCGATTTGGAAAATATTTGGAGAGCTTTGATTTGTACAGTCCCCGGTGGCTGCAGCAGGGAGCTGTGGCCGGACTCGGAGCTGGTAAGTAGGGGTGAGGGAGGGGAGAGGAGACCATGGGGGAACCCCTACCAGGCCACATCCCCTGCCTGCTCCCCCAGCCTCCCCAACCCCTGCCTGCTCCTCCAGCCTCCACATGGCTGCACCATCCACCCCAGCTCCCGGTGCTTTAAAAAGTCCCACTCACTGGGTGCAGCCGGGCAGGGGGGAGCAATCCCTGCTGCCCCCACTGCCCCATGCTGCATGGGAGGCTCTGCCATGAGCCCCCCAACCCCTGCTACTCCCCCAGCCCCGCTTTGGTTGCCCTGCCCGCCCCAGCTTTGGCCCTTTAAGAAAAAACAAATGAGAAAAACCCCAGGACTCACCACTCCTGCAGCTGTCTCATGGCTTCAGGGGCCTTGTGCAGAGCCCCCCATGTGGCACGGGGCAGTGGGGATTACCCCTGCTGGGCAGGAATGGTGAGTGTGCGGGGGGGAGTTCTCATTTTTTTTTCTTAAAGGCAGAGCCCCCCCCGTCCGCCTTGTAGCACCTGCTGAGTTGGGGCTTTTTTTCAAACTGCCAGGAGCTGGGCTGGGCTGGGCAGGGCAGCTATTGCCAGGCTGGGAGAGTGGGCAGGGGATGGGCCTGGGTGATTCAAACATTTGGCAGCAGCTGAATCTCATAATCAGATTCAGCCAGATCGAATCGGGACAGTGATTCAAATCACCGAATCAAATCGCTGTCCTCTGAATCGGCCGAATCCAAAGCGAATACTAGCCGCTTCACATGGGCCTAGTGAATACTTACTCTCCGCACTGCCGCTGGGAAAGAATGTGTTGGAGTGGTCCAGGAAGTGTATGAGACAAGGATTTTTTGTTATATCTTTTATTAGTTCAGCTGTGTACCTGGGAAGGATGCTGGGCAAGCTTTTGGGCATCAAGTGCCATTCCTCAGGTCACTTGTCCAACAGCTCTTCCAACTATACAGTTGGTCCAAAAAAAAGGAATCACAAGAATCCTTGCCCCTTGGAGTGGATAGACAGGAAATTTACCAATTTCCCAGACTGGTTTAATGATTAACTGGCATCTCTTTCTGGCTGGCTCTAAGTCATGAACAAGAAGGAACATTACGTGCTTGGGCAGGGGAAATGATAGCATCTATCCATGGATTACAAGTTTCACACTAACTCTCTGCTGCCGGAGCTGCCTAGCAACTTGCTAGGCTCCAGACACGTTTCATGTGTCCCCACGGGTAGCTCCAAAGGGTGAGTCGATGCCTAGCCCAGCGGTTGCTCTTGCAGCTGACACAACATCTGGAAGTCACCTGGAGTAGGTCTGATCTATGGAATCATGAAAGGATATTACAGAGGCCCTGTCCATGGTTGGAGGAGATAGGGCAGAAGGGAAGCGCTAACTGATTCTTCTGTTAGGACCCTACCCCACATTCAAATTAAAGCTGGATAGAAACCAGCTATCTAGTTGTTGCCCATTGTCAAGCACTAATTTTGTAACTGATTGGCTCTTAAGAGCTGTATAGACATTTTTATGGTGTGATAATTACTTTGTACATGGGGCCAGTCTAAATTTATTGCACAGCTAACCAGTTAATTGCGTAATGTATGTAATGTGTGGCAGGGGCCTTTGTCTACATAGACTGGATGCAAAGTTACAGGGTGGGTAATAGCTCCTGGGGATTCTCTAAAGATAAATGAGGGGTGGAGTACTTCTTGTGGCTGACAGTTCAGGAAAAAAAACATTTCTTGTGAGATTTTCATTTATCTAGCTAGAATCCCTGGAGCACTTACTCTTGCTGCCCTTTGGGGCAGTATCTGTGGGGCCCCGTAATTCTCCCTGGTATTCCTCAGCTAAGAGCAGCCCTGACTAGAACTGTTTGAAAACCTAATTTTCCCAATTCTAGAAAACTGGGAGGTGGATAGATTTCATTTTCAGTCAGTCTAAACACTTTATTTCATTTAAACATATTTTTTCTGTTAAGCTTTAAAAAAAAAAAAACTATTTTAAGAACCTTTACTTAAAATATGTTTGGAAACAAAACATTGTTTTGAAATGAAATATTGAAACATTTCATTTTTTAAAAGTTAGGTAAATATTTCTACGTGTTCAGCTCTATTTCAGGTTTCTCCAAGTTGTTTCAGGTTGATTTGCAAAATTTGGTTGGCCAAGTTTTGGGGTTTTTTGCTGAAAAAAAGAAAAGTTTTCCTTGAAAATTGTTGCCTGCTATAGTAGTCCTAACCCTGCTGTGTATAGTGTCTCCTCTGTCCTGTCAGTCACAGCTACTTACAGTGACACTGTAGAACTTAATGCATAGGTAGGTCTGAAGGAATGTGATTAACATGCCAGAGAGCAAGTACATTCTCATGAATCATGACATGTAGCAGCCTGCAGTATCACTGTGCATGAATTGGCCTGTTAAACTGTAGACAAATAAACATCTGCATGTGACTGTGGAAATACTGGGAATGCTAAAAAACTAAGACTTGAATCCAAAGCATGAGATCGTATAAACTTATCCCCTTTCAGGTCTAAGTGGAAAATTTGCAGTCGGTGTACCACAGCTGTTGACTGTAGGGGTGCTTAGAGTTATGCATCTTCTGTTTCCTCTGCAACTTTAGTCCTGGCCACCCTGCTTTGATTAGTGCTGGGATGGGGTACCAGATCTAATGCATCAGTGGCTAGATATGCCACTGGCCAGTCCTCAGAGTCAGAAAGTGTCCTAGCCAGTAGCTTTCTGAAGACCATCCTTTGGATCTTTTCTCCTTTGACTTGCCTCTTTCTCTCTTTTCTCCTCTGTCAGCCTTACTGGAAAGGAAGCTCTGACCCACTTCCCTTTGCTGGGCCCATCAACAAACCCTGCCCAAGGAAAGGTGCACCTTAAGCAATGTGACTTGCTCAAGCTGTCCCGTAAGCAGAAGAGGCTTTGCCGTCGGGAGCCTGGGCTGGCAGAGACCTTGCGAGATGCCATCCGGCTTGGGATCATGGAGTGCCAGTACCAGTTTCGCAATGAGCGCTGGAACTGCAGCTTGGAAGGACGAACCAGTCTCCTGAAGAGAGGTACAGACCAGTCCCTGGCATGTAGTAGAACATAATTTTCAGTGTAGTAGCTCGTGATTGAGCACTTGAGTTTACTTTGCAGAACCTCTCTCTCCTGGGAAACTGGGGGAGGTGCTACTTGTTGCAATGTGAATTCCTGATCCTTGGGAAAAGGACCAAGAACAGACTTCTTGCACGGGCAACCGAACAACTTTCTGGTAGCTGCTTGTGGCTGTTCCTGACTGAGTCTGGATTTGAACCAGCCACCTAGAAGTAAAAGATTCTTTAAATTAAGGTTTAAAACCATGAACCTTCACCTTAAGCAGGGAGGTTATGTAGTAGCATGTTCAGTACCTAACCCATTATCTAAGTACATAGTAAACAGACTCCCTGGAATGAAATGTGTTGAGTATACTGTGTTTGTAGCCCTACCACCTCAGGCAGTGATCTCTGATTTCAAGTGTGAAACAGATTGAAATCTGGCCGGCACTTCTATGGGAGATAGCCAGCATCAGTTTGCTTTCTTGAGCTGGAGACTGAAGAAACTGCAAGCTTCTCCCCTGAGTTGGTATTACGAGGAGGGTGTAGAGTTGGGAGGTGATACTGATCTCACCAATGCCTTTATGAGGCATTTTTGTAGAACTGCTTCCTCTTCTGGTGTTCACACATCAAATAGGATGCTGAAAAATCAGAAAAGTTCAGAGACCCGCTCTATAGGAATGATTGGAGATCTCACTGATAAGGCAGGCTTTCCATACTAAAGGCACTCAAAAACTACTTAGTTTGCAAGACAGGCTTAAACAGTGACTCAATCAGTGTAAACACACCTAACGCATGAAGATTTCTGAAAGTCAGGGCTCCTTAATCTAGCAGATAAAGGCAGAAAGAGAACCAATGGCTGGAGGCTTAAAGCTGGACAGATTCAAGATAGAAATAAAGTGACATTTTACAATGAGGGCAGCTAACCACTTGGACAATTAACTTGGGATTGTGATGGGTTCTCTGTCATTTCAGATCTTTTAAAATCAAAATCTGATGTTTTCAAAGAAATGCTGGAGCTCAGAAGTGGCCAACCTACAGCACACATGCCACAGGCAGCCTGTGTGTGTGGTACGTGGCAGATCGGGGAGGGAGTAGTTTGCATACAGTATTGCTGTACTCAGAGACCCTGACCTGGGCTCTGTAAGCCTCACCAGATGCTACAACCACCACTATAGGAGCCCAGAATCAAAAGATCACAAAGGTGGCTTAGTCATACTAGCATGTGCACACATATGCTCTGTATATGGACTGTGAGGATTGGGCTGTTTCTCTAAGATACAGAAGAGATTCTCCTTAACATACTAGATCAAACTCTGTCCTGACATGTGTCCCCACATACCCGCCCTTCTTGACTACCCATTGAGTCAGCCTTAACAGGAAAGATGGAGGTGCTCTTAATTCTGTTTAGCACAGGGTCTACTGGTTAGGGCCCTTTGCTGGGAAGTCAGATATATGGATACAATCCCCACCTGGGTGAGGGGGGCCTAGAACCTGGGCCTCCTGCTTCCTGTGCTAGAATCTTAACCACCCAGCTAAAAAATGGAAACATATATTTTCTTAAGGAAGTGGGACTTAAAATGCCAACATATGTCCCAAAGTACCTCTTATATAGTTAACTTTACCATTCAGCAGCTAGATTTGACTCTGTGAATGAAATAACTTACTGCTGTCCTGAATATATTACTCCAACACAGTGACTTTTTTAGGATATCGAAATGTGTTTGAGACCTATTTTACATAAAGCCATATTGATTGGTATGAAGTATAGTGGCAAACTTTAATTCTTCATTGACTGGTCTGTATCAGCCTTCCCATGATTTTGTCTGAGATCAATTCAAAATTCATTTTCCTGAAACTCAATAGTAGCTTTTTTTCCCCTATTTTTTTTTTTCAGAACTTCCCCTGTACCCCAGGATTTGTTAAGTATCAACATCAGTGGCTCAGATCTCCTTGGCCAATTTCCATTAAACTCTTTGGGCACATCTACATGTGCATTAAGGCACTTTTCCTAAAGTGCTTTAAATTTAGTACCTCCAATGTGACATACTAAACAAATGCACATTAGGTTGCGTTAATGCACAGTAAGAATTCCACACTTTTTTTTAGGTGACGCTTAATGCACAGTAGCGTATTTTACTGCGCATTAGCATAATAGCGCTTTTTTATGTGACGCTTTAATGAGCAGTAAAGTAGGCTACACTAAATAGGATCATGGAGTACTATAACAGCTTATATGATCATAGATCTATATTAAACAACACAAAAACCCCCATTTGATTCATAGGAAAAAAGAACAAATGAAACATTTTCAAATAATTTTTTTTCCATTCCCTGAAAAATGTTGACTTCTTGTCACAATCTGAGAAATCTTTAAATATCCCATAGAACAAATTCTGAATTGATTGTTTTTCAACAAATTTGACTAAATAAGGTGTGTTCATTGACTTTAACATGCCACTCATGCTTCAGTAATACCAGTTATATCAAATTTAACATTTCTGATTTCTCTTTTACACTGGTGGGTGGGTATTGGGTGATGCTCTTCTCTTTATATTTCTTAATATCATTGGCACTTTGTGTTCATCATATCCTATGTATGAGTTGTTTGTATATTTGTGCTATTTACCCTCTGGTACCCTCTCCTTCTGCTAATAGTTTAACACACTGACTAATCTGTCCACTAGTTTACCTACTACCAAGATGGAGGTAAGACAAGGAATATACTCCCTTCTCCCTTTAGAAGGGGGCCCAGTGTTTCTTTTTATGCCTGGAGTTGGGGAAGTCAGCTATGCTGGTGAATACCAACACCTTTACCATTCCAAGCCTCTCAATGTTTCTCTTATGCAGGTTTCAAGGAAACTGCTTTCCTCTATGCAGTGTCCTCTGCAGCTCTTACCCACTCCCTGGCCAGGGCATGCAGTGCTGGGCGCATGGAGCGCTGTACCTGTGATGACTCTCCGGACCTGGAGAACCGCAAGGCTTGGCAGTGGGGGGTGTGTGGGGACAATCTCAAATACAGCACCAAATTCCTCAAAAACTTCCTAGGCCAGAAGAAGATTGGCAAAGACCTGCAGGCCAAGGTAGACATCCACAACACCAACGTGGGAATCAAGGTGAGCTTGCCCAGAACAGAACAGGGTCAGATGCAAGCATCTTGAATCATCCTCAGTCCCATCCTTGATGAGAGTGGGTTGTTCATTGCTCTTTACTGCAGAACTGCTTATTGTGTGTCATAGGCCCTATACCACTGACAACTAGTAGAAGATTCTCCTTTAGCTCTGGTGGCAGGAGTTTGCATTTTCAAAGGAGACAAGTTGTGTTCTATACCCACTACTTCTGTCATATCCTGAGTGACCACATTGTGCCGTCTGACTGTTTCAGTCCATCCATAGACCTGTGCAATGACTATGTACCATTAGGGTCCTTCTGACTTTTGAGTATAGCAAGGCATGCTAGTGCATAGCTAGAAATGGGATGCTTGGCTTCTACCACAGCTTTGTTGATAACTTACTAGGTGACACTATGCAAATCACCTTAGAGCTCTGGGTCAGAAGAAACCATCAGATTGTTAGGTCAGACTAGATGCATATTTCAGGCCATTGAATTCCTCCTAGTTATTCCTTTGCTTGGTTAAAGACATCTAGTTTTGATTAGAAGACCTCAAGGTAGAGAGAGTCCACAATTTCCTAAGTAGCTGGTTACGACAGTTATTCTGTTGTAACAAACAGCCTTTGCTATTCACAACTTGTGTCTGTAATGGATTTGGGTGGTTCTTCTGCCCTTCTCTGCTAGACTGAAGAGTTCTCTAGTCCCTACCATTTTCTTCCCATATATGTATTTGGCCACTGCAATCAAATTACATCACAATCTTCTCTTAGAGCTCAATCTATTTGTATTTTTAAAGTTTGTCAATGTAAGGCATTTTCTCAAGATCTCTAG